TCCCGGAAGGCCTCTGCTGGTAGTGAGACGATGTACTCCTTCCTCGCTTTGGTGGGCGTGAATCGCGGCTTGATTCCATACTCCCATTCGCTTTTCATAATCTCTTTAATGCCTGTCTTGCTGAGTCGTTTCCACTTAGGCCCAAGGCGGCCTTTAATCATGTGCTCAAATGTCTGGTCTATGAACACCCCCCCACATAAGCCACCTACTAGCAGAATGATTGTTAGCCCTTCTAATCTTGCGTTCCCTAAGGGGGCAGTTCTATAAGACTCGCCTGTTCCTTCAACGGCTTCTTGTAAGACCATGGGCTTTAGACTCTTCACTTCATAACTGATGAGATCCTCATTGACGGTGAGTTGGTAAGCCGAAAGAGAAAAAGAGGGAATGGAGGGCACCCCACCACTGTACCACCTCCGGCATCGCAGATCACGTATACATTTCCCGATCGCACACCGCTACCCTGTTCAAGAAGCGTTGACAGAGCAGCAGCTTCAGGTTCAGGCACAAAGGTCAACATCGTATCCCCTGCTATGCGGGAGTCGAGTATTCCCGCTTTCACCGCCGCATCCTTCATGGCCTGCCTCGCGTAACTCTTCCAGATCGCCGGCACAGTAATGACGACATGGATTGCAAGGGCCTCAACCACAGTCTCTCCGCGCGCTCTCTCAATTGTCGACATGATATGGCCCCACAGCAGACGTAGATAGTCGGCGACGATGTCAGTGGCTGTTCTCCCAGATGACTCCATCATTTGCTTTGACCGAGTTAGATACTCAGACTGACAGAGTTCAGGTCCTAGATCTTCAGTGCGAAGCAATAAAAGCTTGAACCAGCGGAATGGATTGCTATCGACAGGGACTTCATAACCCCACGTTGGCTCATCATCATCGCCGTACCACAATTCTGTTGGAACTTTGCCCTCCTCACGGCCGTTATCCGGCCAGGAAGTGATGAAGTTGATCTGATTGTTCTCAAAATCGACCTTGGTAGCCCAAGCCACGCCGGAGTAGCTATCGCGAGACCAAGTCAGTATTCCTGTCGATGATGATATGGAGCGAAACCATCATGCGGAGCCTACTTACGTGGTTCCAAAGTCTATGCCAATCACCAAGCTATCCTCTGACTCGTCATCATCAAAATCCACGGCTAGCTTTTTCAGCTTCTCATTTAAGCTGTCCCCGAAGGCCATTGCGAACAAGGAAGGCTAGATGTGATGCGCCGAAAAGAAGACACTTCCACGCGCGTGGAAAGACCAGTGAAATATTTACAGAAGGGGGCCTGGCGAATGCGGGTCCTATGCGTAGTGTACATATCAATATTTGACTTGATCATGCACCATGTATACCTCGAGGCGTTCAAGCTTTGACTGCGCCTTGCATCTGTTACGGATTATGATAGGACGGGAGGCTCAGGGCGCTTAACTCATACATATGTTTCACTTAATTGGTTATTCCGACGTTCACACTGAAACCAACAGCACCACATCAAATCACCCATACGTCACCAGATACTACTCAGTATTAGATCTGCCCATGCACTGCCCCCGTTGTTGGCGAGAAAAATCAGTTATATTTAGGAGCAGTTCTCGTACATCCACTCAAGAGTGGTAAGGCACCCACAGCCGTTAAGTCTCGCACTGAACTCCGGTCTGAGGATTCATTCCTCCCATATTCACACCGCAGTAGAGGAACGGCCTAGGTTGCAATTCTCCTGTGGACATGAAGTATTTCTCTGCTATCATGCCCGGTAGAGGAGCTGTCGACCAAGATAATGCCTCGGCCCCGCAGGCGGGGCCCATGGAAAGGTCCAGGCAATCTGAAATGCCTCCGCACCAAGCCATACGAAGAGCAAGGACAACTCGCACGGCTCGCACGACGGAAACTAACAGCCTCAAAATCGTAGACGTCACTCACAACTAGTCGCCGGGATATGATCGTGATGAAAGTGAAGACCCTCGTCTCTCCCAGCAAGCCCGGCGCTATAGACCCCGGCATACCATGCAGTCTGACGAACCCACAAGGATCTCTGAATTATCGGATCGAGCGGAGAGCGGACCAGCTAAACAACATGCGTCATCTAGGAATCATAACCGGATATCATGGAACGCCGAAACATCAAATCGATCCGAGTATCGTGGTCAGGGCTTGGCGACTGCGAGCACCTACATCGGCTCTCACAAGGATGAAATCCCTGGACTGCGCCAGGTGCCCGAAAAAATCGAAAGTCTTATGACAGAGATGGAGAGAATCGAGCAATTTATAACGGCTTTTGAGCAAGATAAGAATGAGAGGCTCGCGCTCCGGAAGGCTCTCGAGGAGTCGCAGGAGCAACTGCGAGAAAAAACTATGGCCCTGGAAGAAACTCGAAAGAGATGGAAGAAGGCGACTGCACAAGTAAGCCAACTACAGTATCAAGAACAAAGAGTGCCACAGGTATCTGATAGCGATCTCATTGCCTCTGTAATGGAGCTACGCTATAGTATTCGATCCTTTTCTGTGCAGTACTTCTCTGGGCAAGGACCAAAGCAACATTCCACTCTTCCCTTCAAGAGTCTTTCCAAATATATGCAAGACATTACAGGGGGAACGGATGGCTATATCGACTATCTTATGTCTGGGACTCAAGGCCCAGTCCTAATTCAGGCATTTCTTTGGAGAGTACTCGTGGGCGAGATTTTCGAACGCTTCTGTTGGGTTCCGTGGCTACAAACGTCCTTGAATATGATATGTCGAGCATTGGAGCCAGGTATGTGTTGATGAATGATCTCATAAATGGCACATCAATTACTAATGACTTTAGACGTCGTATATAACTACAATGACATGGCTGGGCATGAGGCACCAAAGGGGGTAGAGGCCGACCGAAGGTTCCATATTTGGAAGGCCACTACCTCGGCGCTCGTCGCGGAATCCTTGAAATCGGTTGATAGGAAAGAAGATCGAGAACACATTGAAAAGTTTAATTCCAACATGTCTCAGCAAATTTTGGATGCAATCCAGATTTTTGTAAGGGGTTCAGATGAGGCTATCCTTGTCAATCTCCGAAACATAATCGAGAGCTCGATTGCTCTCGACAAAGAGATCTCTAAGCTGACGGCACGTATTGACTGGCTTTTGCCGCCTTGTGGAAGCCGGTTACTCTTCAACCCAGCCTGCATGGAGGTAGAGATAGGATCGGTTATGCCGCGATCGGGACAGATTGTTGACGTGGCAATTGCACCTATGCTACAAAAGCGAGGCAAATCCACTGGAGAGGGTTTCGACGTCGGGAACCTGTTAATGAAAATGGAAGTTGCTTGTATACCTTCTCGATAGCCATGTAACCACTCTTCTTTTATTCATGCTTAGTCGTTGCTACCACTCTGCTTGACCTTTGCTCCGTAGCTGTCCCTAGAGAAGACGCATAGGGTGGTTGGTTTTGGATGCTTTTTTGTGCATTTTCTTAATGTGCTGGACTGACATCAAGGGCAACCTAGCACTAATAGGAACAAGTCCTGCCTGTTCTCCTTTATTAAGACACTGCTTGGTCTACCACGAACGAATTTCAAAACCTATCTTCCTCATAGACATGCTGAATAGTCTAGGTCTGCACGAGATCTTGGCCGATGCAGCTGAAACTGGTGATTTTTGGTCTCCTAGGTTGGCTGATTCGAGAGGTCTTCAATGCGGGGGACTAGAATGGGTAACTTTATGGGTGCAGTCAATGACTAACGACGACTATATGACCGCCGTAGTGGGCACGGACGCAGGATAGTTGATAATTATTGTAAACCTCGTACATGGTAGGATATGACTAATTTATGGTAGCAACTTCCCCAAGCTGCAAAAGGCCGTCGTGCAACTACAACAAATCAGACAACACAATTCCCTTTATCCACACTATTTAAACAAATCCAAGGCCGAAAACCCGACACCCACAAATATTTGACCTATGGCGGTATTCGTTCCCACGGCCGTAGGAGCGTGATGCGTTGAATGTATCATGTTTACATTGTTCTCGTATATTATTACGGAGCTTCGTAGTGGAACTGAGTAGTGATCCTACGAACATGTAGCAAACTAGTTAACCTTGTAGAATACTCGTGCAGTGGAGGCTCTTTGACCTTAGCGTCCAGAGCCGAACCCGCGGAATTGCGTGTTGACACTGGTGGAGCCACTGAACAAGGAGGTTTGAGCAGGCGGGTTGCTGAAGAGAGAGGGCCCAGTACCACCGCCGTTGGTATTGGAAATCTGTTTTCCAAATAGGCCGAAGCCTGGCGTCTGTCCCGGCGCGCCAGTAAGAGTTGAGCTGTCGCTGGGGGTGCGACTCGAAGAGGGGCTCTGGCCAAAACCGCCGGACAGGCCAACACTTTGGGATGACGTAGCTTGCGATGGCTGCATAGCTGTAGAGCTAGCGAAAGCTGCGCCTTTACTCGTAGAAGCTGCAAAGGCGCTTTGTGCTGAAGGTTCTGAAGGCTGTACTGAGCTAGATTGCCCTGCAAAGATGGAGGGTGGATGTGCCGGGTCTTTCGGAACAGACGACCCTCGGTTAGGCGTTCCGGGTGCTGGCGATGATTTAGTCTTTGAAACTCACACATAATGATTTTCTGTATTTGATAGATAGTTATGAGGACTTACTTGAATTTGAGTGCCTACCCGAGGTTGAAGGCGGAGTATTCAAGAACGACCCAGGAAGGACTATTGGTATATGTTAACCATCCGTGAAGTAACGGTCGACGGTTCCTAGTAGTTGAATGGAGTAAACTTGCCAGTTCTTTCGTGTAAGCGAGACCTTTGACACTTTTTCAGCCCTTCTCTAAGGATATCGGCCTGATGTTGAAGTTCCAGTCTCTCCGCTTGAACGTCCTCAGACTCAGAGGCGAGTTCAATCAGTCGTTCTTGGTCCATTCGAGCTACTGTCGACGGCGTCAAAATTGTTGGAGGTCAGAAATAAGACAATTCTCAACAGCCAAATTCACAACATTCTCGGCAAATGTTCTGAGGGACATCTAAGAGCACTTGTCAGTCTTCATCGAACATTTCCCCGGCGGCTGTCTGTACCTGAAAGTGTGTCATTGCCATGTCAATGACCTTTTCCGTACCGAATTCGCTAGCCTTGGCCGCCCCCGCACTGCTAATGGCCTCCTCGACCGCTTCATATGTAAGGCCCTTTCCAGGTTTGTCGGTGAAAGCTGCGGGAAACTTTTGCTCGAGCAAGCTTGCAACACGTTCCGCCTCCCGTCTAGTAATCCTGGACGAAAGGGTTGCGTGGAACTCTGCGTCAAGCGGTGGACCGTATGTAGATACATATGGCCGGAGGATTTCTTGTAGCTTTTCCTTCAGCAGTTTTCGCCTCTCCTCAAAGAATCCGCCTACACAAAACACCAAGATAGCGTTGGCGGTCTGTTTGTCGGCTCCAATGATGTGAATGAACAAATCTTCTACAAACGCCTTGGCAAAGTCGACGACTTGATCTAGGTAAAAGTCTGCAATGCCACCCCAAGGTTTGGCTTGCATCTTGAAAAGCTGGAAGCCCAGGTTGCCATTGGGGAGACCGGGATATTCAGTCCCCTGATTTGCCGCCGCCAGGTCCTCGAGCTCCTTGCAAAGCTCAGTTTCAGATATCTCAGTGGGGTCTGGGAAGTTTTTGAAGAGATCAAGAAATGCTTCTAGGTGTTCGGGCGGGTCATCTCCGTTCCGAATCCACTCGAAGCCGCCGTCATCAAAGGAAAAGCGTTCTTCATCATCCCACTCAATCTCACGATCCACTCCTTTGGAGACCAGGGTCGCGTGGAACGCACGGTTGAATGATCTGAGTAACGCACGCAACTTTCGCGTTCCCTGACTGTTGTACAGGTCGCCGAAGAACTCGTCGCCGTACCGCCCGTCGATGCCATCACGCGCAAGACGCTGAAACCGCTCCGCGATCTCTAGCAAATACGTTCGCAGCTCATCTGGTTCCGAGCGGGGCTTTCCAAGTTGTTCAATGGCTCTCTGGCGGGCAGAGAGGTTACTCTCGATCTCCTCAATCAGACCAGGAAGTGTCTTCTGGATATGTTGCAGAAGCACTTTGCTGAGCTTCCTCCGCAGGGGTGTGATGCCGCGGCTCATCGGATTGATGCTAGACCATGCGCCAGACTGGAAGAACTTCTCTTCTTCTGCATCTCGGTCGTCTGCTGTCGTCTTTTCCTGGCCCTCCGGTCGATTGCGTAGAACATGCCACCCTAGCTTTAGCTTGTGCTTGCTCTCTTGACCTCTGATGAGCTGGAGACACTTCCTTTCATCCTGAGATCCCGGTGCGGTTAGGTCAGGCTTCGTGATGATGCCAAGTGTGCGCTCCCTGTTAGGATCATATTCCTTGGCCTCATCAACGACCATTTGGTTTGCAAGGTTCTGATTGGCTGAGACAACAACGAGAATAATACTCTTCAGCTGCTTCATGTAGGACTCTGCGAGCTCCTTCACGATCTGCTTGTCTTCTCGAGTCTGGTCTGCAGTCTCAGAATGAAAGAAGCCAGGCAAGTCGACAAGAGTGACGGGGTAGATATCTGGGCCAGCTATCTCCACATGAAGGATGTCTTTAGAGAAGCCCTTTGAATTGCCGACGCGGATTCCCATCTTCTCCGTAGCTCCATTGATGATTTCGGGGAGAGCATCCTTGTCAAAGCTGGTTCGGTGGAACTGCTGAGAGGAGCCAGATCCAGCCCCAGTCGCCCAGTCAATTCTGACCTCGATCTTGGTCTCCGGGCTTCGTCGCAGGACCAACTCCGTGGCGAACCTAGTGCAAACGTCACCCTTGGTGGGGAAGCGGACACGGGAAATGGCTTCTAAGACGGAGCTCTTGCCTGAAGATTGGTCCCCAACAACGATGATTTGTGGCAGATTAACAATCTCACCAACCTGCAGCTCCCGGAGGCTGTCGATTGTGTCGAGCAAAGCCTTTGCCTCCGGACTGTTGAGCTCGTCCAGCCCCACGGAATCAAGTGCAATATCGGACGCTGACATGTCTCCCATATGCAAAGACTTGGCCGTTTTGGCTTACTGTGCTGTAATGGAATGGACACTACAAACTTCTGATGGGTGATACAGAAAAAAAAGGTCCGAGGCTGGTGGAAATTTGGGAACAGAGTTACCAGGTTGCAGCGCGCCTTAGTGTTACTGTAATCAAGTTATATACTTCACGTACCTTGCCGTCACTGGCTGCATATTGTATGAAGTAAAACTTTAGTGGCCTAAGTTGGTATTGGTAGGAGAATACAATCTGGAACCAACAGCCCAGCACTGCCACACCCGGCAATCCCGCAGTCAGACAGCCATTGGTCACAAGAAGTAGGCCTTTCTTACCATAAGGCACATTTTCAGGGGTCAAAATACTAGTGAACGCATTCCAGCCCATTACCAGGCCTTAACCGGAGGCTGTGTCGGCCTCCAAGATGTCCTTGCTGCTTTCTGCAGATCTTGCCCTCACCAGCAAGCTCGTCGAATCGGATTGCACCCCTTGGCGCTTGCTAGTGTACGTTTCAGCGGCTATTGGTCACGCAATTGTACGGCCGCGGATTTCGGATGCATCACAATCTCCATGAACAGGCGGCCTGTGCTTCGCAGTTGTCAACCAGCTGCCAGGCAGATGACAGACGGATGGTAGGAATCGTTCACTGTCCCCAGCAGTTCACCCTGAAGAGTCTCATCAGATCTCAGAGATGGAAGTAACGATGTTTTATCATCAATGTAGATGTCGACCACATGAAATATGTGTTTTGCGTTGAGCTCAAGACTTAGATTCATCCTGGAATTACTTACAGAGAGATTCTGTTCTATTTCTTGTGTGAAGCGACTGGATATAATTCATTTAGCACCAGAAGTCTGGGATGCTTCCTGAGAGTTGAGATGAAGGAGCTTTGGTAGCCCTGTCTCACATTCGTCTAATGCGTCAATGACTAGACAAGTACCGCTTGCACGAGGATCATGTAGCATTGTCTGAAACACTTGCGACAACCCGAAGAATGCATTTGGACCCTCAGAGAACCTTTGGCCTCCGTAGTCATATCGATCTTGAATGTGCTCGAAAAGACAAGGCTTCTGGCATAACATCAGGAATAAAAGGCCTCGCAGAATCCCACAGCTGTGTTTAGTCGCGAGTCGGTGGCTTGGCAGAAGAAAAATGCCAAAATAGAGCGGATTAATGGCTGAAATGGCGAACTGCTAGCATCATTGTCGCTCGAAGGAGGTTCGTCTTTACCAGCGTCGCCATACAGCAATGAAGACGACCAAAGCTCGCTCAGGATCCCGCACAATAGCATCGTCTTCCCCTTACCGGGATCACCTTTAATCCATAGCAGTTTACTCTCATCTCCGTCTTGCCACTGTTGAAACTCTGTGTTATGGGGGATCCACTTGTACGATTCTTTGAGCAGTCTACCCTTGGTTTGCTCGATCCGCGCCTTGTCGTCGCGGGGGCCGGTGAGGAGGAGGTCGGCAAGGCAGCGCTTCAAGCTCGAATCAGGGTAATTGTGAAAGTTGATCGAGTAGTTATTCCCAATTTTTGCTTTTAACTAGCCCTCAGCGTTAAGAACTCTAACAACGTTCATTGTTGAGGACTGATATTCTTGTCATGATAAGGAGGTGTTGTGATGAAAAGAAACATAGGTGACAGAGGCGTCCAAGGCGGGGTATGAAATCTTCAGCCGCTCATCGAGCCACTCAGATCTGATCATGGGCCAGCCTTGTAGAATTCTCTTTTGTTTCTGTTACTATTCTTAAATCAGTCCCCGTAAGACTCTGGTTCCTTTCAAGCTATCTAATCGAGCCTCTTAAATCTGAATAATGCCTGTGGCAAGTTGTAATATGCTACTGAAGAGACAAAATGCTGCTAGTACAATGAGATACCGAACCTTCCCCTGCAGCTAGTTGTCACAAGTTCAATGCCAGATAATACAGAATAAAATGCAGCCAGAATCTTACCCTCGTCCGATTCCCTCCTCGCAGATTGGGTCGGTGCTGCGACTGCTTTACCCTGTGCGGTGGGTGTGCTTTTGTCTGTTGCCTGTGGCGCTTGTTGGGAGCCTGAATCTGCTAATCCGAGGTATCCCTTATCCTCACACTGTGGGAACTCATATGAGGTGCCAAAAATGGTAGTATTAGGATCGATGGAGATCTACTAAGCTATGAAGCAGGAGCCGCAGGAAAGCCCGTGATCTCCGGTCTATCTATCAGGTGCCCGGCAACGCGGCCACACACACGCGCGTGACTGTGACGCGTGAGGCATCACAGATGCAGGACATATCTCAGGCTCCGATAATGATGCCTCAAGGCACAGTCGCTCCGTCTCTGCCAAGGTAGATCGTCAGCCGAAATGAATGCTCAGGGAAAGAGAAAACCCTATGAAGCGTGGAAGTCGAGATCCCACACTCGCGAAGGGACGCTTAGGACCGCGCTCCATAATGGTGGCGGTAATATGAATTTCGTTGCGACGTCCATGATCTATGGAGCCTTATGGCCATTATACGAGAGCGGTAAGCTGTCGGATCTCACAGTAACCTGCAACGGCCGGCGGTTTCAAGTGCACAAAGCTATAGTGTGCTCGCAGTCACCTTTCTTTGATAAAGCGTGCAGTAGCGGCTTCAAGGTTGGCTGGCCGTTAGACCTCACACCCCAAAGAGACATGAGCTGACAATATGTCCAGGAGGGGATTGAGCATACTATCGACCTCCCTGAAGACGACCCCGACATCGTGGACCGCTTCTTCCAGTTTCTCTATGCCGGTAATTACTCCGATGGAGAGTATTTCCATGGTTTGCCGTCAAAGGAGGCCATGATGAGCCTTGGAGTGGTTTCAGAGAGGCTCGAAGAAACGCTGGGTCCCGATCAATACATCAACCTAGAAGCCCCCATTACAACAACCCGCCAAGGCGACGATGAGGGCGACGATGAAGACGACGAGGAGGGAGATGGAGATTATACGCCAGACAGCCAGGGTGCAAATATGGGCGAACAAGACATTGATCAAGAACCTCTGGAATACCACTCAGAGGCGTCGGACTACACAGACCCCGACGAATTATACGACCCAGACTTGCTGAAGGATGAGACATTGAATAAGGACAAGCTCCCTCCTTGGATCGGGAACTATCAAATGGAATACCCAGTCACGAGCATCATCGTATCGCTCCGGGTTTACGTCATGGCCGACAAGTACGACGTTCCAGCACTCAAGCTTTTGGCCAAGGAGCGCTTTGTGCGGACTGTAGAGAATTTCTGGCTGACATATGCCGACTTCCCAGCTGTGGTCGATGAGCTATTCGCGTCCACGATGCCGAATGATCCCCTCCAAATCTTCGTCTGCGAGCTGGTGGTCTGCCAGTACCATGTCGACTCAGATGTCCGGGCCAGAATGAAGCCAGTCATGGAGAGACATTCCGGGTTTGCTGTTGGTGTCCTTGAGAAGATGGTTGCTCTTACCCAGATGTAGCCGATAGCGTGGACTCTAGACATATTCCTGTATTGATAGAATTGTATTGCCGTGTTTTTTCTTCATCCTGACACTTCTAGTAGTCAATGTTTGACTTAGTTACTACTTCCTCTCAAGCGCGCAATTCAGCCTCATTCGATAGAATCAGAACAGATGTCTTCCCATACCAGTGCTTTTCTTACACCGATATCCTATACTAGCCACTGTGTAGCGTTCGAAGATCTGTGCTAAAGGTGACGACTCTTAACTGGCCTAACAATGCATGCTGTGTAGTTATACAGCGGATTGCTTTGTGGAACCAAAATGAAATTAAGACTATGTAGGCGATGATGTCGATGATGTCTATGGCAAATTGCAGCGTGCTGCTAAAGAGACAAAATACTGTCAAAACAAGGAAAAGCCCAGCTTTACCCTGTGACTTTTTAGATGGCTTCATGCATCAAGACATGTATGGCTGAGGTGATAGAAAGTGTGGATAAAGGAGCCGCACACCTAGATATGGGTCTTAATTCGAGAAGAATCAAGTCTATATAGTAGATACATGACACGCTGGCGTGGGCACTAAACGTCTATCGCCGATGCTGCTTGCCGTCCTTCACCTGCTCGACATGCCCATCATCCACATCATCAATAATAACTTCTCGCTCCGCAGTACCGTGGTCTTGGAAGAGTGTTTCTTGCACTGCCCGTCAAATGTCAGCATTGAGCAAAACGAAATGGAAGATACAATGAGTCAGCATGTCACTTACCACTCCAAAGCTCCGAGTACAGACCGCCCCTATCAATCAGCTCCTTATGCGTGCCCATCTCGGCGACGCTGCCCTCCTTGAGCACGATGATCAGGTCCGAGTCGTAGATGGTGCGCAGGCGGTGCGCCACAAAGACGCTGGTACGCGCCTTCTCGCGCAGGATGCTGTTGATGTTCTGCATAAGCGCCTGCTCCGTGTGCGTGTCCAGCGCGCTCGTCGCCTCGTCAAAGAACAGCAGCGGCGGGTCCTTGAGCAGCAGCCGGCTGACGGCGAGCCGCTGCTTCTCACCGCCCGAGATCATCAGCCCTCGCTCGCCGACCTTGGTCTGGTAGCCGTCCTTCCAGCCTTCGATGATGTGGTGGATGCGCGCGCGTTTGGCGGCTGCGATGACGCGATTGTGGGGGGCGGCGAGATCGCCGTAGCGGATATTGTGCTCGACTGTGTCGTTAAAGAGCGGAGTGTCTTGGGGCACGACGCCGATTGACTTTCGTAGAGAGTCGAGGGTGACTTGGCGAATGTCCTGGTCGTCGATTAGGATGCTGCCGGACTGCGCGTCGTAGTAGCGGAATAGGAGGCGGAGAAGCGTCGATTTGCCGCACCCTGATGGACCGACAATTGCGACCTTCTTGCCGGCAGGGATTGTTAGGTTTAGATTGCGGAGAATAGGGCGATCGGCGTGATATCCAAACGTGACATTGTCAAACTTGATCTCGCCGCCCTTTGTCAACGTCAAAGCCTGTGCGTTAGGTGGCTCTTTGATCGTGACATTGACCTTCTGGAGGTTAAAGAGGGTCTCCATATCAAGGAGGGATTGGCGGAGTTCTCGGTATACTGAGCCCAAGAAATTGAGCGGAACTGAGAGCTGGAAGACCAGTTGATTGATCATGACGAGATCACCAACCGTCAGATTGCCGTCTGCAATGCCCTTTGCGCCGAGATACATCATTGCGGTTAGCGCTGTCGAGAAGATGACGTTCTGCCCGCTGTTGAGAAAGGCGAGAGAGGTCGCCACCTTGATTGAGCTCCGTTCGTATTGCTGCAGGGCCTTGTCGTACCGCGCAATCTCGAACTTCTCATTATTGAAGTACTTGACGGCCTCGTAGTTAATGAGCGAGTCCACCGCCACCGTCGACGCCTTGTTGTCGGCGGCATTGGTCTGCCTTCTGAACTTTGTCCTCCACGCCGTCGTCCAGATGGTAAACGCTGTGTACGCCGCCATTGTGATGCCAGTAATAGCTGCGAACGACCCTCCGTATTGATATGTCAAGATGCCACACACCATAGTGATCTCCAGGGCCGTGGGAATGACGTGGAAGACCATGCTCGTCAGCAGGAAGCTGATGCCCTTGGTTCCTCGGTCAATGGCTCTCGTCAAGCCGCCAGTCTGCTTCGATAGGTGGAAGCTCAGGTCCAAACGCAGCAGGTGGTCAAAGACGTCGCAAGCAACTTTTCGGATCGCCTTCTGCGCGACAGAGGCGAAGACGGCGTTTCTCAGCTCCTGGAACACGGTCGCGCCTATCCTGGTCGCGCCGTATGCGATTATCATGGCGCCCGCGACGGTCGTTGCTGTGCCGCCGACCGAGGCGACGTCGATGTTCATGGCGTCCACGATGCTCTTGAAGTAGAAAGGGACCTGCACGTTCAGGACCTTGGCTCCGATGAGGAGCGACACCGCCAAGCCGACGCGAAGCTTTGTGCCGGGGCTGCCCTTGGGCCAGAGGTAGTGGGACATCTCTTTGATGATAGCCCAGTCTGCCTTGCGCTGCTCCTGGGCCGATTTGTCTATCGCGGCGAGAGGATCGCTCGCCGGCTTCGGTGTGAGGAGAGACTTAGCCGCGGCGGGCGGCCCGTCCTTGGACTTCGCATCTTGGGCTATGGTCGACTTCGGGGCGGCGTGCGGCGGGGGGATCGAGGGGTTCTTCGATTGATCTCTGAAGGAATGCGAGGTGGCGAAGACGCGCACTGGGCTGCTCGAGCTCTTCGGCAGCCAGGGCTTACGGTACTGAGCTCTGGTCCATCGCGCCGGAGAGGAGGAGGCGGAGGCGGAGGCGGAGGAGCAGGAGCAGGAGCACAGCAGCGGTGCGCGGTGGAAGGTTCGGGGGATCATCACGAGGACTGGGGATGGCGGGGGTCCATCTTCCCCATGCGACGGCGATGACAAAAGAGGAAGAGCTGAGGCGGAGGCGGTTGCAATTGAGACGTCACACCTAAACTCGGCGGTGTCTGTGTCTCTCCAGATGTCTCTTATAAGAGAAGCTCAGCCGGACTTTGGAGAGAAGATATAAGAAGACAGCAAAGGAAGAGGCGTCGTGTGCAGGCGTGAAACGCGGGCTTTTTGCTGGTATCACGTAATAATCCACTCGATGTCGATCGAGACAAGCTGCTCCGGCCGGCACAGTCACAGTCAGAGTCCGAGCAGAGCAGAGCAGAGCTCCGTCGGGTTAAGCGCGGGGCGGGGAGGTCGGGCAGAAGCTTACCTTAGCTTTCCTCAACTTACAGTACTAGCACTAACAACGGTAAGCTCGCCGATGATGCAATTCTCCACGGATCGGAGATAAAAGAACAAACACCCCTGACTTTGTCAGCACCATCAAGGTATCACCACATCAGCAGCTCCCCTCCCCCCCTTTTCCCTGCTGTCCACAGAAGCATGCGCAATTTCAGTCAAGGAAATTCCCCTATTGAGAGGATGGTTATACCATCTGATTTGTCGGGAATATTCTCCAGCTAATAATGATGGCTCAAGGGGGCATGCAGGGTAGGGCTGGTCTTCTTGTAATATAATTGACCTAAAGCCACGGCGGCTTCCGTATTCAGAGACTTCTCCTTCTGTGTGATTGAGCGTTGGACATCAAGGTTGCCCAAAATAAGGTGCTTCTGTGGCTTGGCCTGTGACGAAACACGCGAGGGCCGATAGAGCTAATGACGGATCAATTGTTGATGGGACTGGACTATTTGATCCTTTCTTCTACGACGCTCGTTCAGACGAAATCTCGAGTGGATTGAACAGATCCCACGGCTGTAGAACCATTTTCAGACCCATGATGGCTAGGATCAACGTGCGCGCCTCTCAAAGCGGCTTCATCATGTTGTCCTACCACAATACTTCGAGAACCAAAACTCAGCCTGGCTGCCACCCGGGTGCCATGGTTGCATTTTGTGGCCGACCGGATCTCCAGGAGCTGCATTAGCACCACCCGGGCGCTTGTGAATGATCCTCCTGGCAAGGAATGGGCCGTAAGATAGAACCAGCATAAGGACTACCAGCACGGCGAGGTTTGCATCAGTCTTCGGACTAAGAGCGAATGGAAACCCCCTGTCCAGATAGTAGGTCAGTAGATGTCATCGCCGTCGACAAAGGCTATGGCATGGCTTACGTAAAGGCTGTGATGATCCCAAGAACAATAACAGTCCTTGCCAGCCAGGAACTGCTCAAAGACAACAGTCAGTGACGGTATTGGAATTGGATCCTGAGACAGAATGACATACTGCACTGGTGCCATCTTCGTCGTCTGTTGTGTCTTCTTGAAAGTACGATGATGCAAATAGCCCAGCATATACTGGGCAACGACGAGCACAAAGATAAGGAGCCCGATGATCTGGTGGGAATTGCTGAAACTTTTTGACTAAGGCAAGTCAGCGGATTTCTTGCAGCATACCTACAATTTTTACTTACCCTGTTATATAAAGTACTAGTCACGATCCCCATGACTGTTCCGGAAAACGCTAGTCCGAAGGCAACCACTTGATTAATGAGATACCATCGAACAGGATTGCCAAGTCGAAGGAGCAATGTTCCCAGGGGAAACAGACTAACAAAGGCAGATATCATAAATATCGAATGCATCAGCGCTTTTATGTCTGACTTGCCGATTTTGACTCGCCGGGAGTCGTCCCTATCGATGAGTTGCCGATTTCTAGAATACCGCCCCGTCTCGTCGCCAGCGTCATATCTATAGCGAAGCTGCCGTAAGCTTGGTGATAGCTCAGTGGATTTCTTAATAGTTATTATTAAGCTCCTTTCAAAGTATATCTAGTATATAAGCTTTATCAGATGACTATTTGATGATATTACCAAATATAGTAAACTTTGAAGCGATAGTATTATAGCTAGGTAGGAATTTTATAATAAGAAAGAATCTATATCATGCTAATTCTACCCCTTCTATAGACCTATAACTAGCTGTAAGTCAAGACGATCGATAGGACCACATATAGTAAGAGTATATAAGCTAACAGTATTCGAATCAATAGAGGATATTATGGTAGCGGCACTTTGGGTAGGCCGCCAGCTCCAACCAACCCTCCCTTAAAGAGTTTTTAGCTGACTAACGCTACCTATTTGATTTCTTACCTACTGATACAACAATCATAAGAGATCTTGGTTATCTACCTAACCAGACTAAGCTATCACCTATCCTAACAAACAGGTTTACCAATAAGTTTCTAGCTTGATAGAATATAATCTTTAAGTAGTTTCAAAGCTTTCATCCGACAGAACCAGGAGAAGAGATAGGCTTCCTTCCTAAAGCGCCTTCAGATAAGCAGCTGTTTTTGGAACTGTAGGAGGAGCTCTATACATAATTTCCCTTCTGCTGCCTACAGTTGTTCTAAACGTATAGATCAAGTTCTAGCAGCCCAGGCTCTAGCAACACTATAGATACTATCCTATAATAGGCTGTTAGCTAGTGTCTTAGTTAGTCGACAGTGTATATAAAACGAGCTATGATGAAAGTTTGGTAGAAGACGCTCGAGAGATTGACGGTATCGTCTGAATGGCAGCACTAGATAGTTGATAGCACGTGAAATAGAAATACATTCTCTTCAAATATTTCGAGGTTGGCTGCCTTATTCACGACCATTGTTTAGACACCCGGAAGCATCTTTCAGAGATGAGATCTGGAAGTCAGTATACATAGAAACTCTCCGACTTCAGTTAAAGATATAAAGTCTTTTACAATGATGCAGCTAAAGTGGCCTTCCGCCGTTTCAACAAGAACCTCAAGCCTGAGGTTTGACCCCCTGAGACGAGAGCAGACCATGGCAATGATTCACCATATCCCAGAGCCAATACGTCAGCCGCCCAATCGTCTAACTCGCTTTTGCGCAGCGTGAATCTCCCTCTTGTGACGCACCAACCCGTCCTTGCGCGAGAATGTTTGATGACACTCGCCACACACGGCACTTTGAAGAGGATACCCGCTTTCTTTGGCCCATTTCTTGTGATTGCTCCAAACATGTCGGTCTTTTTCGCTCTGATCCTTTGCCTTAGCCCAAGTGCAGTCCTCTTTGGGACACTGACGGTGGGTTAAGGTGTGATATCTGAGAGATGGTAAGCAAAATGTCTTTAAGGCAGGTAAGAACAGGAACTTACTTCATGTCATTAGTATCGGATCCACGATATTCGCAGTCTTTCCAGGTGCAGCTAGAGCGAGCTCTGGATGTTGCTATGAGTGGAGGAAATTCTGTGGATTCCAAAGGATGCTCGCTTGAGCCTCTCCATGGTCGATCGCCTTCATAAAGCTGAGCTGATACTTGTTCCGCCTGGCCAACGTCAAATGTCCCTATGTTGGGTGATGACAGCATGCCAACATCTCAAATACGCTGGATGGGCGAGGCGGCGTCTAAGTCTTCATGCTGAATCAATAGCAATGCTGGATTGATAGTGTTATCATCCTCCGAGTTCGGAACGACTCTGTGCGGCGACATATCAGGTTGAGGCACTACCACACTCATATCGGAAGTCAAACCTTCTACCATATCGTCGTGATTTGCAACAGAGAAGAAGCTTGGACTATGAGAGAAAGCCATGACATGAATTGAATCGTAACTAACTAAGACAAAAAAATATGCTCTTATTTGCGCTGAGTTGCCCAGCACCTAATATAGGAATAAGGAATAGACAAAAAGACAACTTGTCAGACTGTCGGATGCATGCTTGTCTCTGTTAATCGCTGGGCAAAGATGAGGCTGACGTCAATGCCATTGGCTGCTAGGCTGCACAAGACATGTTGGAACACGAGATGACGTGGCCCAATCAGATGTGTCCTGCCTCCCATGACATCAGCAAACGATATTGAGAGTTGAGTCCATGTGCTGTGTCAATGCCGGCGCTCTTACAGAAATCAGCTTTCTTCTCTAGCTTTGTCATACTATGTGATGGTCTCACACAACGATAACCAAATGGCCGCAAAAAAGGTAGTGGCGAAGGGGAAACGTAGCCAGGCGCAGAGGTCATTCGTGGTCCACTCGGTTTTACTCAGCCTGATCGACCCTGTCCGCGGTGTACCGACAAGAAATCTCCTTGAAGAACATCCTGATGATAATGTTTTGAAGAGTCACCAGCTGAAGGAGAAATTCCTCGACTCATTCGCACTCATCTGCTCGACTTCCCGCTTCGGCAGAGAGACCGCCTCGGCCGTCTGTATGGAGCAGAACCAGTCATCTGGAACTGTTCTACGCGTGGCTCGCAATCACGGCTTATTACAGCAAGATCTCACCAAACTCAAGAGGGTGCTACAAATTCTGATCGCTGTTGCCAATGGAGGTATGAAATCGACCGATGTCAGATCATAAAACCGGAATTACTCACCTTGGCTCAATACAGAGGAACTCTCAATGCAAGCCGAGACTGAGATTCTCGAGGAGATAGTTGATTTAGACAAGGATCGCATTCTATCACTTGTGCAGAAGCTAGACAATGGCGGAATCCGACGGGTTTTCCAGCTGGCAATTTCGAGGTTGTCTAGTAGGGCTTCCACAGAAGAAGAATTAAAGGGACCGGTATTTGCGCATTGGATCAACACATGTCCTTTTTTAGCCATATCTTTAAGCTCTTCTGGGACATCCCAATTACTGTCTCTTGTTAAGTGGGCAGCACAGGCCAGATGGACTTATCAAAAGCAATTGCAGCTTTTGCTTGCTTTCGACCCGACGCCGGCTCCACCCTGGATGGCACCTCTTTACAAGCTTGCTCGCTACTGGGGAGCGACTAAATCCATGGTCAAGTTGGCTGTGAAGCAGCCCGAGGTCTTCGCTGAAATCTGCATCAAGGATGTCGAAGCCCCGGCGCAACAATCTTTTTCGCTTTCTCAGGTTAAAACGCCACTCCATCAAGCACTTAAGCGACTAGTAAAAGATGACTGCGAGATTATAATGTGTGAGTTGGCTAAGCGCTGGGAAACACACGATGCCGATGCGAAACTGCGCAAAGCATGCCACTTGACTCTTACACTCCATGCCGAAATGCAGCTTCTCGGTTACTACGAGCGCAACGCAGGGTTGATGCCCCAGCTACACTTTATGGGCACTAGTAAGAAAGCCTGCTATCTTTGCCACGAATTTCTAGTTCGGCATCCGCTACGTATACGGGTTTCAGCTTGCCATCAAAAAATATATCCTTCATGGATGCCACCATCCAACGTTGGTATTCCTAGTGGAGTAGAAGAGAAACTTTTTTGGAATTTTAGTAAACACATCGAAAAAGTGGTCGTGAGAGAGCTAAAGACGGGGCTTGCGGCTCCCCGCCGGCCGAAAACTAATGATTCAACTGTAGGTCCAACACTGACGGTGACGGCGACTATTCCCACAGAGGTTTGGGTGCGGCACATAGCAGGAAAGCAGCTAGTCTTTGAAGGAGATGGCAGATTTAGTCAAGGAGACTAGAGAGTACTATCAAGGCTTTGATTATCGTAGGTTGTTGAGATAATAACGTCAAGAAAAGGGCCATATGCACATGTTATGTAGCATGCTAGATACTTCTGCCTTGGAGAGTTTACGTGACACATTTGCTTTACTAGTGTCAATCGAGGAACTCAACCGCAAGACTTAGCTGTAAAATTCATATTCAAGTGGCAACCTCGAGCACAGTAGCTTACCATGATGTTTCTCCCGAAGGTTGACGACGCGAGTATTCAACGCATCATTGCTGCACAATGAAGAAGCGAAGAAAGCATTACATATACGCTCAGAGCATCTAGAACCAATCAACATAGAAGGACCCGCAATATCTTGCTGCCCAAACATGCGGGAGGCCTTCCACATCTCGCCCAAGGTTTGAGACGCGCTGACTTGAAGTGGAAGTTAAAAGAGGAGATTTGAACAATCATTTTCTACGGTCTTTTCAAGCATCAACCCTCGCATTAGCAAACATGATGGCAGCAGACATTCCGGTGGGAGACCATCGAAACCTTTTGGACATAATTGACAATCTCCGCGCACAGGGTTTCAGTCGATATATTGACCTACCGGAAATCATAGTTTGTGGAGACCAGGCTGCTGGTAAAAGCTCCGTTCTCGAGGCTATCTCTGGTATGAAATTTCCCACCAAAGACGGCCTTTGTACACGCTTCGCGACAGAGCTAGTTCTTCGCCGAGGCCATGTGACGAATACAAAGGTGTTTATCACGCCAGGCCAGGGTCGATATGACGAATGGAAAAAGAAAATTGAAAGTTGGCAGCCACAGAACAACTTAGATATAGACGGTCTCGAAGCAGTGACAAAGGAAGCAATGGAAGCAATGGATATCCCGGTCCCGCGAAAGTTTTATGATGATATCCTGCGCATTGAGGTTACTGGGCCGAAGCAGCCACACCTGACCATGGTAGACCTCCCTGGTCTATTCAGAGCAGGCAACAAAGAGCAATCTGATGCCGATGTCGCCACAGTACGTAGCATGGTTGAGAAATATATGGCCCGACCAAGAAGCATCATTCTAGCAGTAGTGTCGGCTAAGAACGAATATGTTCTTCAGGAAGTGACCTCAATGGCTAAATACGCCGACCCAGAAGGGCTACGAACCATGGGGCTCATCACAAAGCCTGATACCCTAGACGTTGGTTCTGATTCCGAGGGCTACTGGGTACGCCTCGCCCAGAACACTGAAGTCGAACTCCGGCTCGGATGGCATGTTCTAAGAAACCGCAACTTTGAGCAGCGAGGCTCGACCTCGGCACAACGGGACGATATTGAGAGGAGATTTTTCTCAAGTGGCATTTGGAGTAGTGTTGACCCGTTGCACTGCGGCGTGGAAGCTCTGAGGAACAGACTCAGTTCAGTCTTGACGAATCAGATTCTTTCTCAGCTCCCAAGTCTTGTCCAGGACGTGGAGACTGGCATTCGTCAATGTACAGAACAGCTGGACCGGATTGGTCCTGTCCGGAAAACACGTGAGCAACAGCAGAAATATCTATTACACGTGAGCGAAGGTTTTACTTCCCTCACAGAGCAGTCAATTGACGGCGCGTATATGGACCGTTTCTTTGGCGATAGGAAAGAGCGCAACGGATATCCTAGGAAGCTCAGGGCCGTCGTGCAGAACCGGCTGCTTGAATTTCGCCAGGAGATGCTCTTGAATGGACAGAGCCAGACAATCATCGACTCAGAAAGTGAAGGCGAGAATGAAAATGAATTGAGCGAATCGCCGCGTATTTCTAGATCCCAATATGTCGAGCAAGTGGCATCTCATTTGAAGTTCAGCAGGGGGCGCGAGCTCCAAGGCCTCTTCAACCCGGTCATTGTTGGCGATCTCTTCGTAGCGCAGTCCGAGCCATGGCGGAAGATCACAGAACAACTGGTTGAAGATATTGTGAACTTTGCACATCACGCAACTCAACTTGTGATTCAACACGTTGCTGCCAGTGATGTCGCTGCTGAGCTGCGCAAGTTCGTCCACGAAAAGATAGATCAGCTCAAAGTCGGGCTGGACGCCAAGGTCAAAGAATTACTTGCCTCAGCTAAGCAACACCCCATTACGTATAATCAGCAGCTCACGAACAATGTTCAAAATATTCAGCATGCCCGGTACAAGCGGAATATCAAGCAGCTCCTTAGAACTATGTTTGGCTCGCAGCCATTTGACGACGAGGACAAAAAGATCTATATCAATCCTGTGCAGCTAGTGGAAGATCTAGCACATGGCCTTGAAACAGACATGGAACTTTCCGGAAGCTTTATGGCGGTCGACTATATGGAGGCATATTACAAGGTAGGTTCTCGCCTGGATAACAAAGTTGCTGTACGCTAACCATAGTGTCACGCTTCAAGGTGGCAATGAATAGATTTATCGATGATGTCAGCGTGCTGGCCATCGAAGACTGCCTCATTGCAAAGGTCTCCAAACTCTTTCGGTCAACCGAGGTCTTGACACTGAGCAATGAGGATGTCTCCCGGCTGGCAGGTGAGACTAGAAAATGTTCTGTCGAGAGAAAGCGCCTGGAAGAGAAGCACAAGATCCTTGATGCGGGTTTGCGCGGCCTTAAGGGCTTACAAAGGCAAAGGCCATTCCATCGCCCTGCTGAATGGGATCCTACCCCGCGAGGAACTCTAGAGAGTAGGCCTAGTACGGTCGCGCCTAGTTCAGAAGAAGCATCAATCGCTGCCTCTGTTATGGAATCATCTCCTATGATGAAATATCAAGGTGCAGCAGATCCTCCATTTGATGAAGATTTTGAGCCATCTGTCAAACCGAAAGATGAGGAGTGGGAGGTCGAAGATACCCAGGTCCCTCAGGAAGAGAAATGGGATTTCCCAGCACCCTCCTTCAAACCTTCTAGGAAGGTCAGGAGAGTTAAGAGGCTTCCTAAGGGTATTTTTCAAGAGCCTTCCTCTGATCAGGATCCTGAGCAATAGGAAAATTCTAATATATACGTTTATAATCTATTAGTATTGATACAATATGATAATATGGTGTCAAGTCTTATATGGCTACGACAGCTAAGTAATGACGGCTTTAAAGCTTTGAGAAGCTTATTTAGTTTAGTCGACAAACTATCGAGAAGGTATGAGAGGTATAGTATTGGCAAGCAAGTGTTAAGAAATCATGTAGAGTTATCTTAAAGAGTGTGAAAGGTCGAGATGAATATCTTCTATAGCTATACACCTAGCGTACTTATTTGATGTATATGTCTTTTTGGAACATTGAGGGGTTTGACGAGGTGCTGAAAATGTCAGGTATCATGTGATTGAATCGGTGCCTGTTGTGGCCGCCCAATATAGCTGCCTGACATGGCTAGCTGCCTTCTATCGAGAAAGTTATAGATGTGAATACAGTAGCCAGCCTTGACACGTCTGCTTCTATAGCACTGCCACGTCTTCCCACCTCGTTGCATTTTACCTCGCTCTCAGCAACATTGGTCTTACTGGCATTATCGATGTTAGCGCAGCAGCTCATTCGATGCGAGTAGATGTTCGTTGCACCTTCATAGGGTGAGATTGATTTGTCCTCCCGTGTCTTCTCTCGAGTCGCGTAGGTCTAACGAGGTGTCACCTCTGCATTTCATAGTAATAGTAGGAACGCGGAGAAAGCCTAAGAGACTAACTAAATCATGAATAGTAAGAATGACTAGACTATTAAGTAAGTGCAGTACAAAATCATTGACCTACACCAATTATGTGACGCCGACGCCTAACTAAGAGGTGAATGATTGGCTACATTCTTCAACTGTCTTAGCAACACAAATCGTAAAAGTAATGTAGATTTCGTACAAGAAAACTGCAAAGTTGCCATGTACCCTGAATGCGGGCTGACCGATCCGAACTTGAATGATGTTTGAAGCATCCTCCGCAGCCGCTATGTTTGGCCGATCAGCGCTTCTGGGGGGCATCTATGCAGAGTGCTAGGACTGGGGAATAACTAGCGCACCCCTTACCGCGGAATCCTCCACCCCTACTTGTGGGGTCAGAGATAGGCGATCCCTTCGGCACTCGGAACTCAGCAGAGTATAGTACTAAGTTCCGACGATGCGTTGCTGATGATCAAGAGTGCGGTACTGGGTGGAAAAAAGTGGCTATAACTAACTTGGCCAGATTGTGTGTAGTCCAGAATCTGCGAGCTGTTTGTCTTTATGTAGACAAACGATGTCATTCTCTGAAATATATAGCTCCTTGCGGTCTTGAATTTCGCCTGTACTTGCATGTATAAATGAGAGTATATTGACAAACATGAAGTCCAGCGTCGCCACAATCGATCCCTACAAGCTTTGGGACTCTCGTCCAACGTTTTCCCATGTGGCGAGTTCTCTTGAGCCATCTCGGATGGTGACTACTGCTGGGCAAGTCGGAGCTGATGAAAATGGTGGCGTGCCATCCGCCCCCGAGGAACAGATTAAGCTCGCTTTTGCAAATTTGAAGCGGTGTCTTGAGGCTGCAGGAGCTTCTGTCAAGGATGTCATGAAACTTGTCTATTACATCGTTGACTACGATCCCAGCCATAGGCGACATGTGAAACCTTTGTTAGCTTTCCTAAACGGTCACCGTCCCGCCACGACCTTAGTCCCAGTACCGAAGCTAGCACGGCCGGAGTTTATCTTTGAGGTAGAAGCATATGCAGCTATTCCACAGCAAGAGGCGAAGGAGGTCGATGTTGTTGTGGTTGGCGCAGGGCTTAGTGGTTTAAAGGCAGCATATGAGGTTCAAAAGAACGGTTATTCTGGTGCCGTGGTTGAAGCTCGAGATCGAGTGGGCGGGAAAACCTGGTCTGTGGACCGTAATGATGGCAGATTTGTCGACCTTGGAGCGGCTTGGATTAATGATACTAACCAATCTGAGGTATTCGGTCTCGCCCAGGCCCTCGGCTTGAAAACTGTGGTTCAGAATACGACAGGCAATGTTGTTCAGCAAGATCCAAATGGTGCAGTATCACAATTCAAGTATGGAGGCATCCCTCAGGTGAGAAATTAGCACTCGTTCAATAATCAATAGACATGAAGATTGACACATTTTTAAGGGTCTGTCAGAAGTAAATGGAGTGGAGAACATGGTTTCAATTCGCGACAAGACCGAAAGGACATGCCAAGAAATTGATATCCATGACTCGGCACGGACAGGCAGTCACCTGGATAAGATGACATTTGAGGAGTGGGTGAGATCAGAAGGCGGAGGGGAGACTGCTCTAGCATCTGTGAGAGTCTGGACAAGAGCTATGCTTGGAATGGAGCCGAATGAAGTGAGCGCCTTGTTCTTCCTCAACTATTGTAAGAGTGGGGGAGGACTTCTGCAGATGAGGTCAGATCTTAAGAGCGGAGGACAGTATCGACGATTTGTCAAAGGTGCGGAACACTCCACTGAATTGGTAAAGAGCGAGGTCTAACTTCGAGAATCCAGGCACTCAAAGTTTATCTCTTGGTTTAGTCGGTCTCCTTGAACCGGATTCAGTTCTCTTGAGCTCCCCAGTCCGAGTTGTGGAACAGACAAGCCAAGGAGTTCATGTCATCTCTGCCAGAGGTAACTTCTTCTGCAAACGATTGATTGTGTCTGTGCCTACTCCTCTATATAAGGAGATCACTTTCAATCCGCCTCTTCCGCAAGCAAAACTTGAGCTAAGTCAACGAAACAAGCTGGGTTACATAAACAAGGTCCTTGTCCGGTACGCCAGCCCTTGGTGGCGCAAACATGATCTCTGTGGCATGCTACAATCTTTCTGTGGTCCAGTCGCCGTGTCTCGAGACTCTAGCGTTGACGAAGCCGGCCAGTTCTCATTGACCTGCTTTTGTGCTGGATATTTCGGGCGCCAATTATCAAAGTTATCCCAAGCAGAAAGGTTCAAAGCAGTCGTGGAGCATGTGGAAAAGACACTGGGCTCGGGAGTAGTGGTGCCAGCGCCTATTGGCATTGAGGAGCACGAGTGGTCAAAAGATCAGTGGGCACAAGGCTGTCCTTGCCCAGCGGCGCCACCTGGATTGATGTCCGAATTTGAGCATTCATTGCGCTCCACACACGGTAAAGCGCACTTTGTTGGCACAGAGACTGCTTATGAATGGAAGGGTTACATGGATGGTGCTATTCGATCGGGATTTCGAGGTGCTCAAGAAGTTATCAGAGCCTTAGAGAGCCCTAAATTGTGAAGAGCCATGACAAGAGGAATGCTTCAAAACCTCGCCAAGATAGCACGACCTCAGTGGAGGAATATATGAATTTTCAGATAATACTCTCAAATTTTCTTGTGAAAAGACGATATCTGGTATATTATTTGTTTGTTGTCAGTTTCACTCATGCAGTCCAAACGGTTTTCTTCAAGTAGATACACCAATGCACTTTTCCAGGCATACAACTAGCTGTGCTGATTCCGTGCTCTTGCGCAAATAATGAGCAGTATTCTTTACTTTGTGCTTGTCCATATGAGTTGCATTTTGGTATTATGCCTGCCTGTGGGGACTCGGTGTTGGTTGCTGGTAGCTGATGTTGGTACTGTTGCTGGACCTGCTATACAATAGTAATACCGTAAGAAGAATTTTGAGCTGGATCCTAGAATGCTATTCCAAGCGTACGGCTGTGAAGCCGTGATCCCATCGCTCGATGCGAACTTCTCGCAGCCTTCGCCAGCTTCTGGTTGGTCGTAATTCGAACATCCTATGATCCATATCTGTGTAAGAGATAGGGCATTGTTGCCAACTCCACTTGGTGATGCCCCGGTGCCAGCTCCAGCATCACTTCCATCGTTGCCACCACGAGTATAACCAGTGTCATTAGCAGAAACATTTGTAGGTGGCGGTATGCAGATGCCACCTGGTGCCGATGAACAATAATAGCCCCCAGGCTAGATGTCATCACAAAGTCCATTGATAGAGGAATTCCAGGACAAAAACTGAACAGTCGTCATAGTTAAGTTGTCAGTCGACACTTTCTTTGCCAATGAGTCGCAAGTTGCTCCAGACGGGACCTGTTTCAATGAATAAGGCGATGGTAGGCAGAAATAGTCTTTGGTACCCTTGCACTCCTTTTTACCAGTGACCATCTGGACCGCTCCCGTCGCAGTATTAGATGCTTAGGCGGTAGTAGCACCATGGAGGTTTGGGTCTAAAGTGCTTTTCACTGAGCTGGCCGCTGCAGCCTTGTAGTGCCGTTGTTGAATTTGCAGGAGGGTTGGAGAAGCGACATCCAACCATCAGCGACACAGACCTGCAGTTTCTGCCGCCCTATCAACCGCCTTATTTGTAGCTCTCTTACCACTTGCCTACCAAAGTCACGAACACTTCCCTGCGTTACAGCTTCAAGATGAGCCGGCTCAATTCCTCTTAATCTCGTGACAAAGCAACAGCGGCAATTCGCTCCTTCTATTATCTTCTGGCAACCCTTCCTCGGCTCTCCTTTTATAATATACACGATCTGCCTGAAAATGATGGCAAGATCTGACAGATGAGTATCTCGCCCCTCTCCGGTAAGAACGCAGCAGTGCTCGACCTTCTGCGACGCCTCCTTGTGATCCAAAATGACGGTCAAGGCAACGATCAAATAGCTCCAATGACCACAGCCATCTGTTATGACGGTCGTACCACGCGCTGGGCATTGAATCGGGGATTGATCAATGGCAACCTAGTCCCGTATGGAGCCGGCGAGATTCGGCCACATATAGCTGTCTTGACCACAGGATTCAGTTATGGGAGCTTGCTATTACATTACTTGATACCGACACTGGCAAGCTTTATGACAGATTCTGTCTATAGTGTGTTCACTTACAACTTCCTAGGCATGATCATAGACTTCATTTAGCAGGCATATTCGGAAAGGTCCGAGCCATCACAAGATAGCGCGGATGCTTGGCGTGCATACCACACTCGACCAATCGAGGATTTCTTCGAGGAATGGAAGAATAAGTACCTCAATCTAGAGTGGTCTGTAATCCAGGTAATGTAGACGATGGAGTCTTGTTCCACTTCGATGCGAGTACGGATGTAAGTAACAAATGCCTAAGTCGGGAGTTGTTCACTAACGTTTAACCTTGCGACAGGAAGCTCGCGAGATATATCGCAGTCATGGCTGGCCTTATGACTTCAATCGTGAAGAGTGTGGAGCGGCGTTGCAAGAGTGGGACAGGAAACAGCGATGATCGCGTGCTGATGAGAAGTGTGCGTCAAGCCAAGTCGAATGCAATGGTGGAAACGTATCTTTTTCGTGAGTGTAGTATGGTGATGGAGGATTTCCGAGATGAGCTGGAATCAATTTTCAGGGTGGTCTCTGTCAAAAGTGCTCACACGTTTTCCAAAGACGCAGACTATCATAATATCTTATAACCGATGGATGACAGCTTCCCAAACTCAGATATTAGGTATGACTGTTCTGATATGTCTTCTATTAGACTACATTAAAATCCCAACAGAGCAGCGTTCAAACGCTCTCCTCAGCTCGCTTGACTTCAGTTGTCTCGCTGTCGTTGATTGAAGATCGTGCACCATGAAGAACCGGCCCATTACCAACGAACTCGCCAAGGTTGCCATCATAGACAAGCTGCTCTGCTTCCGCCACTAGTTGTTCAAATGCCAGAGACTTCTCAACACCAGTGCCAGGCATCTTGAAGATCAGGCAGGCGATCCAGTAGGCCAAACCTCCAATCACAAATGACAGCACCCATCCTAGAGCATACATATGAGAAGCCGCCTCATCGACACTCACACCAAACGAGCCAATGAAACCTGGCAGGGGCAACAGGAAACCGATCACAAAGGCGGCGAAGGCTCGCACGTTAATGCCGTGGAAGAAGTAATAACGAGCGGAGGACGAGAAAGTGTAGAGATCCGCCATCGAGATATTACCTCGACGGATCATGAAGTAGTCGACAATCATGATGGCAACAACAGGGCCCTGGAAGATGCTGTAACCGCCGAGGAAGTTGAGAAAACCATTGGCGGTAGCCACGATACGCCTAGAAATTCCGTTAGCAAATAGACAGCAGTCGACGTAGAGGGGAAAACGTACCAAGGGACAATGGCAAATGCAATGATCAGGCATAGGAACTGGCCTCGAACGATGTTGATGTACTTGGGGAAAAGGCAGGTTACATCTGCAGCAAACGGGATGAAGTTGCAAGCAATCGAAGTTCCGAGAGTAGCAAAGGCAAAGCATGCGGAGGCGAAGAAGACTCCGGCGCGAGCAGGGGAAGTGTAAGAGCGGTCGAGAATACCATTCAGAAGATCGTAGGGGTTCCAGAACGCTTCACCATAGTAGTTGAGCACTGCTGACTGCAGAGAGAATAAAGGTTAGTGGCACTCTAATGTCAAGCACACTTGAATGACTTACAGTGCTGATGATACCAAAAGCAGCGCAGAGAAGCTGTCCAATGGGGAGACCTAGCAGTTGGCCCCAAACCTGGGCGTTGCGTGTCTTCTCGTATCGGGCAATGTCCGGAATCGTCACAAGGAGAGCTGAATTAGCTCCCATTACTGAATTGAACTGGGAAACAATGCCCCACGCAAAAACAGGAATCGAAGTGACGACTGAAGAGTCTTGCAGCCCGTTGGCAGAAACACCGCCGTTTTCCTTGGTAGCCCAGATGACAATTCCGAGGCCAGCAAGGGGCAGGACAACTGACTTGGCGGTGAAGAGATGTTGAATCTTAGATGTGTGGATGAAGAGGAATGGGATGGTAAAGCAAAATGCCATGAAGAACCCGACCATTGTCTGCGTGGTGATGTATTGATTGGCTGGGATCTTGTTCGGCACCTTCTCCCAGGACGGGAAAATGCATCGTAGGCAGATAGAGATGAATTGGCCCTCGAAGTAAAGCTGCACTCCACCCCAAATAATACCGAGGATTGATCGGAGCACAACAACGAAGTACTGGCCATAAACACCAAAGCTCAGACGAGATAGCACAGGGTAGCCAACATGATATTTGGAAGCGGCGCGTCCGTTGAGGACCATCACCACGGCAGACAGGAGATTGGCGAAGAGGACGACCAGAAGCGCATCACGGACCGTCGCGCCAATGGTAATGAGAGACGCACCGACGCTCCAGGTAGACACGTTCCAACTCTCGCTCCACCAGTAAGCGAAGAAGTTCCAGGTGTTCCATGTCTGCCGATCGGGAGGAGAGGGCAAGAGGTCTTCATTGATGAGATAAGATGTCGCACTCTTCAGCTTAATAGCCTCGTGGAAGGCTGACGGGGAAGTAAAGGCATGCTTGAACCTCTGAAGCCGCGACTTCCCGCCAGCTTCGCTGTCGGTGCTATATTGAGTAACGGTTACCATTGTGATGCGATGGAACTCCTCTGTTGTCTAGCGGTTGTTTCTTGATGCCAGTGAGTGGGCATCTCAGGGCCCTGTCGCGGCACTTGGATGGACGGTGCCTTCTATATCATGGTGCATGGGGATGTGCCAAGACGCGTAGCCACGGCCATCTTATCGTGGTTGAGGTACCGAGCCCACGCATGACTCGTTGAAGATACGCATGTACGGTACAAGCCTGCCGCCCGTGCAAGGTATCAGGGATCCACTTACGTGGGTAGGAAGCGATTATCTTGATAAGAATGGGACGGGACAGGACACTTCACCCACTTTATTAACAAATCAGGGCGGTCGTACGATGATCCTGTATATGCCCACGTAAGATACCATCTTAAGGTAATGAACGTCGCATGACCCCCAACACCCCAAGGGGTAACAGCACTCTTGTCACTCTGTCCAACTATCTTACAGAACACGATTCGGCGCTATCCGAATCAATCGATCCAGAACCATGGCGGCGGGTCCGTTGGAATCCATTGAGGGTGGCAAAGCCTGGTATTATTGTGATACCCCCATGATTCTGGGTGAAGCCCCCATTTACCGCAAGAGTGACTCGACTCTACATTGGGTCGATTGCCTCAAGCCAAACCTCCAAATTCTGAAAGTAGACCCAGTCACTGGTGATGCTCAAGGCAGAGCCAGGGTCATCGAGCTTGAGGACAGCGTGACGGTCCAATTCTTCCGCAAAGGCAAGCCAGGGAGTTACATCTGCGCATACTACCAAGGTGTAGCATTCTTAGATGAAGAGTCTGGGAAGTTAGAGGTTGTCAAGGAGATCATCCCGACAGCTGACCGAGACAAGCTTCGCTTCAATGATGGCGGTGTAGATGCTAAAGGCCGCTTCTGGCTTGCCGAGATTGACCTCAAGGCAATGGCATATGGACCCAACAAACTTCCAGATTCATATGGAGAGCCAATAGGCCGATTATGGAGATACGATCCAGACGGCACCTTACATGAGATGGATAAAGGCTTCATCTGTGGTAATGGCCTGGCTTGGAGCCCGGATAACAAGACTAGTACGCGTCGCCTGCATGCATCGCTTTAGGCTTCGTAGCTAACTTGGTCCAGTGTACTTCAACGACTCTGTGGCCATGAAAGTCTTCAAGTATGATTTCGATCTTGAGAGTGGCGCCATTTCTAATCGCCAACTTTTCATTGACCGAAGAACAACGTATGGCGAGCCTGACGGCATGGTAGTAGAGTAAGCAGATTTTGTCCAGGTCCACCCACGATCCACGTTCGGAACTGACTTTAACAAAGCACTGATGGCAACCTCTGGATCGCCGTATTCGCTTCTCATCGTGTTATGGTGTTTGACCCTCAAGGAAAGCACCTAAAGGACATCGTCTTTTCAGCATACAATCAAGCATGTACAACATGGGGAGGAAAGGATTGGAATATACTGTTTGTCGCATCAGGAAAGGATAGGAAAGGAGAAGTCGGGCCAGAAGATGAAGGCGGCCACATGTTCAAATACCATGTTCCAAACGGCACCAAGGGCATGCCCAAGAATGAGTTCGCCGGTTAAAGTAAATGCAATGCACACAAAGTGATACCATACCAATACTCGAGTGTTTAATGATGCATAGTTGTACTTCTTTTTCTCCTGGACGCCTCTGTTTGGAAATGGCCTCGAAGATAACATCTATTGACAGGCTACGCCGCCAGCACGATACTTGGATCTGCTTCGCAACGCCTGCTATCCCATCTTCCATTGTTGAAGAACACGGGCTGACAATTTGAGCCTGAGACAAGTAGAGGGATTTGACAGTCAAGTAATCTCGCTCTACGTAAAATGAAATCAATGGGCTCGATCTTTTCATTTTTCTTGAATACATTAAGACGTGTGTCATCTTGCCCACGTAGAAGCATCAAATACTGCCTGTACGAGATCTCCAAAGCAACGTTCGCTGATAGTTGATAGAACAAAGGTCTAGACTGGTTGACTAGCTACTCCCACGTGGATGCATGTAATGTGACGATGTCAGCATCCAAAATAACTGCGCTAGAAAACCGAGGGTTCTGGTGGATGTCCACGCTAGCCTCGATGCTTCATATAATTAGTGGCTTGTTACGTGGGCTGAAGTGAAAATAGTCTCCAGACATGTCTCGTAATCCCAATTCACTGGCTTGCTAGACCAATTCGGACAAAGAAGATCATTCGACAGGCTCTGGGGAAGGACTTGAAGTGGATGAATGCATTGTGTTGCACAAGTGCGAAAGGGCTATCGAAGTTACGATATGATCTCAAGCCAAATGTATAACCCGACGAATGCAGAAAGAGCAATGCTTAGATTAAAAGGGTAACATGGTATGCAAGTTATGCATTGGCTGTGCTTGTGGGAGTCAATGAATGCAAAAGCACTTTTCGCATAGACTCGTTCACGAACGCTTAGCTACCCAGCGTGCTGCTCCTCTTCATACGCCATTGCAACCATACAGAGCAGGTTGCATTCAGCCCAGTACCTAGGCTGACTCACATCAAGATGTGTTGTCTAGTTGGCAGTAGTGCTAACTGCTGTCCATTCGGTCGGTACTACGAACAGCATCAGAGAAAACCCGGTAATGGCTTCATCTGATGCAGGACACGCGAGTTCCCCAGGTTTCACATGATGCAGGGCGTAGCAGTTCAAGCTTGTGTGGGCAGCTTGTGGGCCTCTGAATCGTTGTGCGCAGGCGAACATGTGGAGACGTGGCAGACGGAATTCCATCTGATTGATTGACTTCCCTGTAAGCAGCATTTGCGGGGTGTCTGATTCTGCGGGGATGTTTAGTTGGGGTCGCAAAGACTGGCCGAGTCGAAGGTTGCACGCTCAAGGCTTCCAAGGCTATATAGCTGTAATCTTCCTTTGAAGAACCGGATTAAAATCACTGGGGTTCTGCTTTATTATACCTCGAAATCTCAGGCGGTATCAAGTATTTCCATCCTCACACACGGTTCGGCATCCCACGTCATTCTTGTCTGACCTTTCAGGTTTGGAATGTGTTGGAAGAGATGCTTTGGCCGCCGTCAGTCACACTACTAAAATATGTTAGAAAACTTGAAGGTCAATGTCTAGTACCTGAGTTTACACTGCCATCATATATGTCAATGTATACGAAACGGGGCCAGGGCGTGATTAGATTGTCCATATGTCGCTGTTGACGATTTGAAGCCTACTTGTGCCATGCATGGGACCTTGTTTCGAATCTGATCTTACCAGAAAAGTGGACGCCTCAAAGTAATGAGCAGGAGAGTATGGACAATTGCCCTGCATTGGCCCCATTGGCCAATGACCTCGGTATTGTTTGAAAGAAGGAAGAGACTTGGGGAAGCGGGGACACGGAAAAGCCTATGATTGGCTATGATGTGCCATGGCATTCTCCTCCCAATTCCATCAATGACGGACAGCGTATCGTCTGTTCGTTCCAGTTCTCCCATACATGTTAGAAATCTGGGGATGGGCTATGAATCCATTCTCTCAACTAACGGACACCGTCAGTTCTCCTATTGAGATGCCGATGTTCTAAAAGCGCGTGATTCTAATTGAGAGAGATATGGGCCTCAGACCGACCTGTTACGATGGACGAGGAAGGGCCAAATTCGCTACCAACATTTCTACCACCCGAAACAGCCAGAAAGTATCTACAATCTCGACGAGTTCGAGTCACACGAGCGGTAAGCAATATCTAGACTTCAGTTCTGTCCTAGCAATCACAAATCAAGGGTTCGAGCCTTGGTCCTTGGGTGGGATTAGGGCAAATGACCAAAGACATTCCTCGCACATCTGACCTGCGCCTCTATTGTTGTTTGTGAATAAAACTGCTGACACAAATCCCGGCAGTGTGATCGTTGCAAAAAGTGAGACCGAACCCCAAAAGAGAGAAATGAAACGCCAGTTCATTGTCTAACCTTGGTCTTGAAGGAGGAAAATCCGATGCACTGGATTCCAGCCATGTGAAATATGTACACAAGCGAAATCCTCGTGCACTTATACAGCTGCCTATACTCGTGGTCGTTTGAAACCTGTGCAAAAGCTTACATCCTCACGAGCGCAAAGCGACCTCAGCGATACTAGCGATTCAACTCAAATAGCTACAACCAAGGCGGCACAAGCCGAAGGACTATGGGGTCCATTGCCGCCTGGCGCTCAAGAACCTAGGCCTTTTGCCACGAGCGGCGAAGAGAACTTGCTGGACAATACAGTATCCCGCGAATCTCCTGAACCCGTGCAGACCGACCTTGACGGCCAATATATTGGACCAGCTTCCGGTATATCTTTTTTGCTCCGGGCCCGACGACGGTTACAACAGCAACCGACCACTGGCACAACGTCAATCTTCACTTTCGATGACGCTCCACTTCCCAAACTCGGACCCCATTTTCGAGTTACACTGTCCAAGTTAGAAATGACAAAGCTTGTACAAAGGTATTTCGACTTTGTTTCTGCCGTTGATCGCTTTTTGTACCGTCCAGCTGTTCAGGGTTGGTTGGAGGCATTCCACGAGAATGATGGGCATTTAGGCAATGAGGCAGATGATCATGCTCGCCTAGCTCTGTTATATATGATATTTGCAAAGGCTCAAGATCATACAAGCCCGAAGCCCAGTACTGCTGCGTCAGATATCAGGTAAAATTGCCTTCCAATCGGCGTTTCCCTTCTAATATAGTGGACAGCATTCAGTTGTTCCTCGCTGCAGACGATCAGCTGACAAAAGAACGAGGCTCTGTTCGACTCTTGACTATCCAGGCACGCCTCTGCCAGTGTCTCTGGCTTCTACTGCGCTCTCGCATTAATCATTGCTATACTCTCTTTGGAACTGTTGCCCATATGGCGATTGCTCTTGGATTAAATCGCAATGTACACACCGTGAATCCAAACAATGCCTGTTATTCTGATGAAGTTGAGCTTGAATGTCGCCGCAGAACATTCTGGAGCATATATTGCTTGGACAACCACCTCAGCTTAGCGCTCGGCAGACCGAAGACGTTTCATGATGAAGATATTGATCAAAAGTTGCCAGGATATTTGGATGAAAGCGATCTTTATCCGAGCTCTGGTCAACAAAGCTCTCCACAATCGTCCCTGATTGTAGGACCGGTAGCATACTATACGTAGGGAGATTCTGCCAGTCGAGGTTTCGCTATGATTAACGATGTCTTCTAGATTGTCTCGAATTGTTAGTTCGATCTTACGCGACTTGTACTCGGTTCGGCCATCTTTTTCGCCGAGCCGACATCTTCTTGTGGATAGATACTCGCAAATACTTGAAGCATGGGGATCAGAGATAGCGACCTTTCTAGATGCAACTGGAGGAGATGCGACACTTCATGTTGCCATTTTCCAGCGCCAGAGGACTATCCTTAATCTCACATTTTGGCACACAATGATTTTGACCCATCGGCCTATTCTTCTGGACAGCGCATCGAGGTCTAACGAGCAGAACTTCCAATCCCACAGTAGGATACACGTTGATCAGATCCGCACTAGCATTCGAGAATGCCTGCACGCCGCTACAAACATCACAGCGACAATCAATAACCTTACACAAACAGGACAGCTATTTCAAGCTTTTTGGGTATATCTAGTTTCTTCAAGCCCTCAGAAACGTTGCTGATCGTATCACAGTTTACGTCTTACTGTGCCTTCTCAGCGACTGCAATTCTCTACTTCTACGTTATCCAAGGAAGCTCATGCCCCGACCTTTGTCGCGAACATCTGGAGGCCGCTCTGAGATGCCAAGATCAGATATCGAGCATTGCAGAGAAAAACTCTTTGGTAGCGCGATATTGTCTGTTGCTCGATGAGTTGAAATATGAAGCTTTGAGACGCATTCGATCGCCATCATCGAAAACTTCAGAGTATAATACGACCAATTCACCGCCAGACTTCCCCAACGCGACTTTCGAGAGTCCTCCCGGGTTCTCCGACTTTGGAGACTCTAACAACCTCGCTCCTGAATTCAATAGCACACTAGAGGAACTTAATGGATGGGCCCAATTTGAATCAATGGTAAGTACTGAGGAACATTAAAGGCTGCGAGACAATTTAATGGTGACGATATCACATGTCTTGTGCATCGGGCCTTCATAAACAGCAGCTAACTGTCAATCATAAGGTGATTCCTGAATTTGGGGCACTGGAAACCCTCCTTTACACTGATGTGAACGAGTTACCACAACCTTTCTAACTATGGGTACCGTGACTCTGACCAAGGCGGCTGCGCGCGTTACTAGTCCTGCCCTGTGTAGCTGCACAGTTGTCATGTCGGACGTGTCGCCAACGCACCCTTCGCTGCTCTATAGCTACACGAAGTCTTTACATACACCAGTAAGCATTGTACGTCCCAAAGAAAAGTAATGTGAAGCACTATATTAATGCAGTAGAATTAGTATGGTCATGATGCAAGCAGAAAGGTCTATGTTGCTATTCCATGTCCACTACTAGTTCGCCTTATGGTCAGACACCAGCGCCATTGTATGCCCCAACATTAGGTTTGGTATAATTGGATACATCCGCGCCGAAATAATCCATATTCCCATTGTTTTCTATAACAGTGCCGCTCAAGAGTGCTGCCGAACCATTTTGAATCCGATATCCAAATGCGGCACCAAGCGTGTCTCCTGCGACCCTCGGGTTGACGAAGCCAGGGTCACCAATAAGGCCATTCTCGGTTGGCGGAGTGATGGTTTGGAAGAAGTTGGTCTGCCAGTCGATTCCGCTTCCCGTGGGAAGGGTCGCGTTTGATGTGCCTACGAAGATGTTGTTGATGAAGTGGGAGTTCGGTGGAACATTGATATTGAAGTCTTGTTTCGGGCAGTAGACAACATTATTATAAAACCACAACTCTGGCATCTCACCAACGCTGATCATGCGGCAGTCATTCTCAAAGATGTTATATCGGACAACCTGTGTGGGAGCACCAGACGAACCACATCCATCACAATTCAGGAAAGCACCACCAGCGTTGTCGTGACTATAATTGTATTCGACCAGGCAGGTGCCAGTGACACCCCAATCACAGTCAAAAGCCTGGCTATCGTATACACTCATGATGCTTCCGAACACAACATTATGACGGATCACAGGATTGTTCGTGACCATAACCCACATTCCGGCGAAGTTTCCTCCGGTCCAGGGATATTTCCCTGTTCCCAAGTTGCTAGCAGTATTGTGGTCAATGGACGGCGACTCGGCATACGCGATAATGACTCCGTCTCCGCCGCAAGCATCAATAGTGTTATGTGATACACGTATCGTTTCACCCAGGTTGCCAGCCTGTCCTGGGCGCACTTTGATAGCACCGCCACCACAGTCCTTGACGTTGTTATCACGGACCCAGACATTGTCGAATCGACTGCCATTGGAGGCAGCAACAGAGATTCCGGCTGACATAGCAAAATCAGACGAGTGTGTTGCCTTATCTGTTTGCCCAGCTACATCGTACACCGTGTTGTGATCAATGACAATCCCTCGATGAATTTTTCCATCGCTAGCCGATACTAAAATCCCCTGACGTCGTGCTAGATCATTTGCCGGGTTTTTAACGGCTAGATTGGAGATGCGCCAGTATTCGAGGTTGTTCAGAAATATTGCCGAAGAGTTGCCATTGCCGTCAATAATCGGCGGCCCGATAATTGAGTCCAGCGGATATGCCATAATCCGGATGGGATTTGTTGTATTTCCGTTTCCATGTGGCATCAGTGTTCCTTTGCAGGTGGCATTGGACTTGAATGACAGAATGTTTCCAGGAGAGAAAGTAAAATCATTGGCCTGGCTGAGTGAATTCCAGGGGCTGGTCAATGACCCATTGCCGGGTATCGAAGCGTCGCAATCAACATAGTATTGCGCAGCTTGAGCAATGGTGAGGCCCGCGAAGAGCGTTTGAACAAGGATACCGTGCATTCTGCCAGTAAGTGATATATTGTATTTCACCAGTCTCCCTGCAGACTCTTCATGGTGATGATCAGAAATGGTGAGTGTCACGTCATTTATATTGCCTACGCGGACCAAGTTTGACCTTCGCCAGCTGTGCGGGCATCATTTTCGTCGTCATACTACGTATGCTTAGCCCATGATAGCCATGTCGAAGCTACATGATATCTAAGGGCGAGCCTTGGCAGATGAAACAATACCAGTACCAGTACCTCGGTTTTCAGACCGGACGCGCGACGATGTTACATTGAGGTCACCTAGCGGATCGTAAGCGCGCCTCGGCAGATATCCCGCAATTACACCAGGCCACGCATCGTACTGATTGATAGGCAAGAATGTCCAGGTTGGGCGTAGATGCGGGGATTGATCTTAATAGTCGAGTGCGAAGGCCCACCAGAATGATAAGAAATGGTGCGCAAGCGGGTCTCTGTATCTCGGCACGTTGCGAAACCAACGTGCCTGACATGCCGATCACTGCAAGTGTCAGGTTTTAGGAGAGACCGTAGCCTGATCTGGAGTTTACCAGCTGTCTTAACATGATCTAGGATAGTCTCAGACATCGCGTCTGAACTCTATTGGTCGAGCCACGATGACTGACACAAACCTAGCGTCGTTGCGGTTAAGTTATGCAGAGCTCCTTGATGAAAAACTGAGCGCCATGATATTTAGCTTGAAGCATTGTCCTGTACCCTACAACGTTGCATTTTCTGTCAATATTGACAATGAGGTGTGAAGCAGTCGAAGAGGCGTACGTTGGTTAGATGAAGCTAGAACGCTGAGTCGCATTCAAGACACGGAAGGAGACGTTGACAACTAGTCATGTCCCCATATTATAGGAATACTCACAGCTTTCTGCTTCGATGAGGACGCGTGCGTATATAATACAGGTTAATCAGGCCTCAAAAAAAGGACCACCAAAAGATAACAACTCTTTCCCGGAGGTCAAAGACAGATACTCGATACTAATTGACCTCGGTTGTGGAAAGTGAGGCCGCTGGCAGTGCCTTTGACGTGATGATTCCCTTTTACTTTAAGCTTTTGACGCTCGGTGTCGCGTCAATGGTGATCGCGGCCCCCTCTACCAATGTTCCGCGGGCGCCATCAGCCTTTGTCCACCCTGGCGTCTTGCTCAATGCTACTCAGCTGAACTTCATGAAGAGCATGGTGGCCAGCAATACCGCCCCTTGGTCAACCACCTACAACCTCATGATGACAAATTCCTTAGCCAGTTTAGATAGGTCGGCATCACCAGTGGTTATGGTAGAATGCGGATCATACTCAAACCCAGATGTGGGGTGCACGGCCGAGAGACAAGACTCAATTGCAGCGTACACAATGTCTCTGGCATGGTATATCACGGGCCAGACAAAGTATGCTTCGAAAGCAATAGAATATATGGATGCGTGGTCCGCCGTCGTCACCGGCCACAATAATTCCAATGCGCCCCTGCAGGCCGGTTGGGTAGGGTCTATGTGGGCGCGAACAGCAGAGATTATCAGGTATACAGATGCAGGCTGGAGTACCAGTCAAGTTTCTCAATTCGAGAACATGCTGAAGGAGGCTTATCTACCAGAGGTCATTGTTGGTGCGACCAACTACAATGGAAATTGGGAGCTAGGTCGTCTATCCTTACCTCACAGATCTACCTTTTCATCTGTCTGACCATTGATGCAGTAATGATGGAAGCCGCTATCATGATAGCAGTCTTTATAGAGGATTCAAGTTCTTACGATACCGCAATGACTAAATTCCTCGACCGAGTCCCAGCGTACATATATCTTAGCACCGATGGCGATGTACCGATCGCTCCTACTGGAAGCACGTATGACACAACTGCCGAGATCATATCATACTGGTACGGACAGACGACTTTTGAGAACGGGATTAGCCAGGAAACTTGTCGTGACCTTGAACATACTGGCTATGGCATTGCCTCTATTTCTCACGTGGCTGAGACGTCTAGGATCCAGGGCCGTGATCTTTTCGCTGAGGATACAGGTACGAGATTGCGATACGCGCTGGGGTTTCATACAAAATATGCTTTGGGGGCAGAAGTCCCGAGCTGGCTTTGTGGGGGTAGTCTCACAGGCAAACTTCTCAATGGTAAGTGAAGAATGCTACCAGTAACTTTGGTTTGCAATCGTTTTGGCTATGACTTCCTGAAATTCAGTCTAGCTAACCCGCGAATCTAGTGACCGAGATTGGGCATAGCGAGTTGGCAGTTCGATTAGGTTACGCCATGACGAACACAAATACATATACAATACAACAGCGTCCTGGTGGTCAAAATGGGCTTTTCGTCGCATGGGAGACGCTCACGCATGGGCGATTATAGGATGTGTCAGTCTGTGAAGGAGTAGAGTCTTGTTTCATCAAATCAGGTCTATCACCCAAATTGCATCTTCAGGGTCTATTATACCACCTCTATCGCCATAGACAGGAGTCGCGTAGCCTTAGACGGCTGAATCACTTCCCTTTTGTGTGAACGCTCCCACTGCTTCTAACATAAACTCCACCGTCTCTTTAGGCCGACTCAACATTGGAGAGTGACTGCTCTCAATTTCTCTAACGGTCACATCTCCCCCAGCGTCTTTTGCCATCTGTACAAAGAATCTTTGTGCCTCAATCGGCAATCCTTTGTCATTCACAGTTGCCAGATACCAGCATGGAACATCCTGCCACCCGGGATACGAATGTTCACCGCCTTCCGCGAGAGGTTTCAGTGCCTGTTTTTGAAGTTTCTCAACCCACTGATTACCTTCCTCTTCAGAGAGGTCGTGGTAGAAGAGCTCTCTAGGATCAGCCAGAAGGACTGCAAAGCCACTCTCTGTATCAGCTTTCCACGATGGCGGCGGCTTGCCACCGAAGCCGCCAAGAAAACTAACCCCAGCAACATTGAAGCCTGTAGCCATGAGTATCAACCCAATGACATGGCTTGATGTGTTGTCGGCGGGTTGGGATAAATGGCCCTTCGATCTCGCAAAGCCTTTGATTGCACTACTGCCGACCAGGCCGCCGTAGCTATGCACAACCACAACGACATCGCTATAGTCAACGATTTTCAGTGACACTGCGGAGAGAGGATCATCGATCGCATTTGTGGACGTACTGACCGTCCTTGGGAAATCTCCCGTTTGATAGCTGCCCGAACAGCTTCGATATCATCTAAGAAGCTAGTGGCAGGGTTTGACAATGTCGATGGAAGGGTCACAGCCAGGGTTGGAAAAAATACTAGT